AGCTCTAGCGCCTCCAGTTCCACTGCCTCCAGCTCCAGCTCCTCCAGCGCCAGCGCCTCTAGCTCCAGCGCCTCCAGCTCCAGCGCCTCCAGCTCCAGTACCTCCAGCTGCAGCTCCTCCAGCTCCAGCGCCTCCAACGCCAGCGCCTCCTGCTCTAGGGTCTCCAGCTCCAGAGCCTCCAGCTCCAGAGTCTCCAGCTCCAGTGCCTCCAGCTCCAGCGCCTCCAGCTCCAGGGTCTCCAGCTCCTGCTCCTCTAGCTCCAGCGCCTCCAGTGCCAGCGCCTCTAGCTCCAGTGCCTCCAGCTCCAGGGTCCCCAGCTCCAGTGCCTCCACCTCCAGCGCCTCCAGCTCCAATGCCTCCCGCTCCAGAGTCCCCAGCTCCAGCGCCTCCAACACCGCCAGCTCTGGCAGCTCCAGTACCTCTAGTACGAGCACCTTCAGGACCAACAGCTCCAGCACCTCCGGTACCTCCAACTCCAGCAGTAACTCCAGCACCTCCAGGACTAGTAGCTCCAGCACCTCCAGCTCCAGTGCCTCCAGCGGCAGGGCCTCCAGCTCCTGCAGCGCCACTCCTAAGGCGTGTGCGCCGAGGAAACCACTCGCGCAGCTGCCACGGTGAGAGAGGCTCCCGCCGGCGAGACTGTCGTGGCGAGGCACCCGCAGGACCTCCGGCAGACGAAGTACCCCTAGGCTCAGCACCCCCAGACTCCGCACCCTCAGACTCAGCACCCCCAGGCTCCGCACTCTCAGGCTCAGCACCGCCAGGCTCCGCACCCTCAGACTCAACACCCCCAGGCTCCGCACTCTCAGGCTCAGCACCCCCAGGCTCCGCACGCTCAGGCTCAGCACCCCCAAGCTCCGCACCCGCAAGCTCAGCACCCCGAGACACAGCACCCCTAGCAGCACCACCCCCAGCAGCACCAGAGTATACAGTGACCTCGACAGGCTCAGCCACGGGGAGTGGGTCGACCTGAGACACACCTGAGGGAGCAGGGCCCTGAGGGGGGAGGGGGTCTACCGGAGGGGGACCTGGAGCAAGGAAGAGCGACGGGGGGGGGGGGGGGGGGAGAGGGGCAGTGCGGTAGGGGAAGAGACAGTAAAAGGGAACCGACTCGATAAACGTGACGTCCTGAGAGGATAGGACACGGCGCGAGGTGGGGCGGTAAAACTTCCAGCCAGGCGCGTCACGAGGAAAGCTAAGGAAGACGCAGGGAATGGCGCGGGAGGAGAGCTTGTCTGCGGAAGTATTGCGGACAAAGGCACGAGAGCCCCAGACCCGGAACACCGACACATCGCCAACCTTCCCCGTCCAACGCAGTGTGGGCGAGGTCTCCGGCAAGGAGACACGGGGCCAGAGGTTGAGCTGATGCGCAGCGTACCGGACCGCAAACGACCACAAAAAATGGGGAGCAGCCGCATGGATCACGGAGGTACGAGCCACCTCCATGACTAAGCCAATGCGGCGCTCAGCAACCCCATTTTGCAGTGGGGAGGCCGGAAGCGTGAACGACTGGAGGATGCCCTCCCGACCACAAAAGTCCCGCAGGAGGTCGGAGGAGAACTCACCACCTCTGTCAGAGTGCAGACGCAGGACAGGAAGGTCCTCGCGGAACCGCTCACGGAGCTGGAGACAGACTGCGCGGATCCAAGGGATCAAGACATCAGGCACCTCACCCTTGCTGCGCAAGGGGAACACCGTGGTGTAACGCGTGTAGTCGTCAACAACCAGCAGAAAGTAGCGCTCGCGGTCCTGTCCACTGACGCGGGCTGGGCCCCACACGCCCATGTGGAGAGTCTGCAGGGGAGCAGTCGTCGGGGGAAACGAGGAGGAGTGAGGAGCGGCGCGCTGCCGCCCCTCGACGCAAGGAAGGCAGGGTAGGGCAGGCGAGGGCAGGAGGGGAGGCAGAGACCTGGGAAGACCAGAAACAAGGAGGTGGGAGTGCATGCCACGAAGGCGTGGCAGGGAGGGGTGACCAAGGCGGCGGTGCCAAAGGAGAGTCTGGTGAGACAGGAGGCGACACGAGCAGAGGGCTGCTACCGGACCTAGCGTGGACACCTGATCACATGCAGCTACCTGAGGAGGCTCAGTATTCAGTGTGTACAGACTCGAGCAAGGCCGACGGGTGAACGTGGCCAGGTGACGGCCCGTCCGTGTACACGTGCAGATCGATGCACGCTGACCCCCAGGAGTGGTGGTAGTGACCAAGTTCTGGAGGGCAGCGGTACTCACCAAGTTCGTAGAGAACGAGGGGAGGTGAAGACCTGAGAGTGAGCCGGACGGAACCGCCGGACACGGGAGAACAGTGAAGGAACGTGCAAGAACTAGGCCCCCTGAGGGGTCAGCCAGTCTGACTGGAATAGGTGCAGGGACTGGAGTGAGTGTGGTACTGTCGCGAAAGAAACAGCGGGAAGCACCTGAGTGAAGCGTGAAGGTGTGCAACGCCTTAGCAGGTGCAGTACCTGGGAGAGCAGACTCACTAGCACCTAGAGCAACAGCCTGTATACCTGGGTCGGGCGGCACACACAGGTAACAGTCACCCTCAGCACTAACAGACAAGGCATACATGGTTGCAAGGATAGCATCATAGTCAAGAGCAAAGATATCAATACCATACCTAAGCAGCTCTAGCCAGCCGGGGCGCTCAGCCTCGTCGCCAAACTCTGCGCGCCAAGCATCGTCAAGGCGGGAGAAGCAGCGGTGCTGTATGTGAAAATTCCCGCATGTCTGACCAGCGCGGTCACCTGTGCAAATGACATACGGGCAGCGAACACCACCCCCAGACGCCCCACGCTGAGCAAACCACTCACGAAGCTGCTGGGGCGTAGGGGTCTCGCTCCGACGCTGCTTCTGCTGCCTCTGGCCACCGCCAGAACCTCCCCTCTGAACAGCTCCACCCCGACTGCCACCACTGCCGCTGCCACCACTCCCACTGCCGCCACCACCGCCACCACCACTCCCACCGCTGCCACCATCGCCGCCACCGAAGCCCCCACTCCCGCCACCACTCCCACCGCCACCTCCGCCACCTCCGCTGCCTCCACTGCCTCCACCACCACTACCCCCGCTGCCACCGCTACCACTCTTGCCTCCCTTGCCCTTGCCGCTGCGGCGCTTCCCACTAAGAGCAGAAGCAGCCCCGGCGTCCTCTGTACCAAGGATGTCAACAGCAGCAGCAGAAGCGTATGAGGGGGCAAGGGGGGAGGGGGAACACCCCTCAAAGGAGGGTGTGCGACGAGTGCCACGAGCAGGACCTACAGCGACTACGCTAGTCTTAGCTGCAAGGAGGTGCTTCTCGAGCTGGTCGACAGTGAGGTCTGTGAGGGCAGCGCGGTAGCGAGTGTCGCTAGTGCGAAGGTGGGTGTAAGGTCCTCGACTGTGGCAAAGGCTGACAGCTCGGGATAAAGGTAGGGCAGTATAAGGCGGTCGAGAGCAGCAGTGGCAGGGGAGGAGTAACGAGCGACTACAGCGTCGTACAGGGCTTTAGCAGTCTTGTGCTGGCCAAAGTGAGCGTGTTCGGCTAACAGCAGGTGGTTGCGAACGGCTAAGCGAGCAGCAGCGTCACGGGTAAGCCACTGTGAGCGAGTCGCACTGTCAGCTGTGGCGGGAGGGGCGAGAGAGGCTCCAGACGTGTGGTCAAACAACGAAACGCTGTCTCTAGAATCGCTCAGTAGGTACAGCTGTAAGTCGTCGAGCCATGTATCGAACTGGATCGGACGGCCCTCATGATCGAAGGTGAGAATACTGAGAGAAGCCATAGCGGGCAGAGCAGGGTGGCGCGCGACCAGCAGGGCAGCACGCAGGCAAGGACAGAGCGACGGGCAGGGCGGCGCGCGAGCACTAGGGAAGCACGCAGGGCAGGGCGGGGCGGTGCACGGCTAGGGAAGAGCGGCGCGCGGCCAGGGCAGGGCAGCACAAATGGCAGGGCAGGGCAGCGACCAGCAGGGCGGCGCGCGGGCAGGGCAGGGCGGCGCGGCGGCTAGCAAGGCGGCGTGCGGGCAGGGCAGGGCGACGCGGCGGCAAGCAGGGCGGCGCGCGGGTAGGGCAGGGCGACGCGGCGGCCAGCAGGGCGACGCGGCGGCCAGCAGGGCGACGCGACAGGCAAGGGAGGGCGATGCGCCACCAGTAGGGCGGCGCGACGGGTAGGGCAGGGCAGCGCGCGGCCAGCAGGGCGGCGCGACAGGTAGGGCAGGGCGGCGCGCGACTGGCAGGGCGGCGCGACGGGCAGGGCAGGGCAGCGCTCGGCCCGCAGGTTGGCGCGACGGGCAGGGCAGGGCAGCGCGCGGCCAGCAGGGCGGCGCGACGGGCAGGGTAGGGCAGCGCGACTAGTGGGGCAGCGCTACGAGCAGGGAACTATGCGGTGGGCCCTAAAAAAAACGGTCTTGGAACAGGACCTGCTATGAAACCATGTCAAGAAACTGAACGAGAATCAATGCATTGAGCAAAAAGTTGGTACAAGTACTAACCCTAATTGGGTTGTACCCCTTATGGGCTACCCCACTACAGCCTACACAATATAAGCATTATAACATTTTGACAGGTACCTCACCACGTGGTGCGGTGCTCCCGCTTCGGCGTCGCCACGGTCATCCACGACACCGTGAAATACATGCTTCGGGACTTTGCTTCCGAGGCAAGCTTCGCAGTGAAGGTGGAGGACACCACTTTGATTCAGCATCTGGAGGCAGCTAGAGCGCGACTGCAGGGACTCTCGGGGACGGGGGACGGGGTACCGAGACAGTCAGGGGCACCGTGGGGACAGCAGCAGCAACAGGGTGGGCTCGGTCGAGGAGCTGGTGGGCAGGAGGGCTGAGAGGGGCAGGATGGGCTGGCTAGTGGGGGAGAGGAGGGGGGACAGCAGCAGCAGCGGCAACAACAGCAGCAGCAGCAGCCATAGCAGCAGCAGCTAGGCCAGCAGGGGCAGGAGGGGCAGACCTGTAGGGGTGAGGAGAGGGGACAGCATGGACAGCAGCAGCGGGGCCAGCAGGGGCAGGAGGGGCTGGCTAGTGGGGGAGAGGAGAGGGGACAGCAGCAGCAGCAACAGCAGCAGCAGCAGCAGCAGCAGCAGCAGCAGCAGCAGCAGCAGCAGCAGCAGCAGCAGCAGCAGCAGCAGCAGCAGCAGCAGCAGCAGCAGCAGCAGCAGCGGCAGCGGCCGCAGCAGCAGCAGGGCCAGCAGGGGCAGCAGCAGCAGGTTTGTAGGGGAGAGGAGAGAGGGCAACAGCGGCAGCACCAGGAAGGTCAGCAGGGTCAACAGGGGCGGCAGCAGGAGGGTCAGCATGGGCAGCAACAGGAGGATCAGCCAGGGCATCGGCGTGAGGGTCAGCAGGGGCAGGCTGGCCGGGAGGAGGAGATGAGACAGCAACAGCAGCGACGACAGCAGGAGGGCCAGCAGGGGCAGGAGGGGCAGGCCAGTAAGGGAGAGGAGAGAGGACAGCAAGAGCAGCAGCAAGAGGGTCAGCAGGGGCAGCAGCAGGAGGGTCAACAGGGGCGACAGCAGGAGGGTTAGTGGGGGCAGGCTACTAGGGAAGAGGAGAGGGGACAGCAGCGGCAGCAGCAGCAGCAGCAACAACAACAGCATGGTCAGCAAAGGCAGGAGGGGCAGGTTGGTGGGGGAGAGGAGAGAGGACAGCACAGCCAGCAACAGGAGGTTCTGCAGGGGCAGGAGAGGCCGGCGAGTGGGGTAGAGGAGAGGGGACAGCAGGGGCAGCAGCGGGATAGCCAGCAAGGGCAGGTGGGGCTTTGGGTCCAGGGGGCGACCCAGCCCTTGGGTGCGGGCTGGTTCGGGGAGAGAGGGAGAGAGGAGGTGGCGGGGGACACGACTGCGGGAGCGCAGGGGTTAGGAGGGGAGGGTATGGAGGGGGGGGATAGGGCGAGGGTGCCGGGGGGTTTGGGGTTGGGGAGAGGGGATGGGAAGATGCAAATGGGTGGGGAAGAGGGGCAGAGACGACAAGGGAGGAGGCACAGAGGGACCAGGCACAGCAACAGCCAGTACAACAGCAAAGGCAGGCTGGACGCACAGGCCGCATAGGGACACCGGCCCGCATTCCAGACCTGACTTGCTGCGATATAGAAAAATCTTTGATGGTGTTGGTAGACGTCTCCATTGCAGATCCACAGCAACAGGGGAATACCGGGCTTAGACGAGTGGCCCCTGTGCAGATAGATGTTGCAACAGCTAGACGAGTACAGGACAAGTTGCGGGATTGGGCACCGCATCTAGAGGGATTACAACTACCGCCACATTTTTATGCATGTGTAGTGGAGACGTTTGGATTGCTCAGTGAGCCAATGAGGCAGTTTCTATGGCTTTGCGCGCGGCGGATTGCACAGCGGCATAAAGACTTGGGGGGGGGGGGGGGAATGACGGGTCAGCACGGATTTTCGAGACCGGACTCACTACACGACTTTCCGTGGCACTGCAGCGAGCGCAGGCTCAGAGTATTATACAGCACGCGGTGCGGCATTTGGGAGGGTCAGACGATGGGTGGATGCCCGCACCAGTCCCTTTGGGTGCAGGGCAGGGCATTTGGCATCAGATTACCGGCTGCTTTGAGAGCGTGGCAGACATGCAGTATATGTATGATGCGTATGTGTAGGCGTTTAGCGATTGCGCTTGAAAGGCTGTTTCCTTTAGTTTCTTCCTCTCTTCTTTTCCTCTTTCCACCTTTCCTTTGGCCCTTCTCTTCTTCTCCAGCTCGTCTCTCCTTACCACCCTCCCTTTGTTCAACATAGAATATGAGTCGCAAACCCACAAATGCGGCTGAGCACATTCAGGAAGAACGGGCGGAACAATTTTGGACATCGACAAAGCATTGCATCCAAGCAAAGCAGCCCTGGCATGCTCAAGGGCATCGGCGTCCCACAGGGACAGGCTCAAGGACAGCACAGCAACTGTATACCTTCCGCGTTTTCAAGCTCACAACAACAAACAGCAACACAAGAATGCTGCTCCAGAAAAAAATCGCTGCTGCTGTCACACAAGGTGTGAGTTCTGCCAAAGCCCACTCCACATTGCCATCAGCGGTTATTCGTAAGATCAGATAGATGTGTATACGAAGCACCAAGCGAGCCGTACATCATGATGGTAACCGACCGTTCGAGTCCGTTAAGGAAGCTGTCTCGCTGCCTGACGGACGACGACATGCCTTTGTCAGACGGCCACGGTCAGTTGGACAGCAGCCGGCCGTTAGCGCCGTCGTCAGCCACGCGAGATCCCCTCGAAGGCGGTCAGCGCGTGCAGCCCGCACGTCTCGATGACGTTTCGGACCCCGTGAGTGCTTCGCGGGGCGTGTCGCGTGCAAACGCCGCCAAGTCAGACGTTCCAGGAGTTGTCCAGCCATCGCGAACATCGCCTGCATTGCACGATAGATCGCAAGACCCGTCGGCGACAGCGTCGCAGCCGAACCAAAGGAATCTGCAGTCGCAGATGCTGCGTGAGGAGGAGCCCCGAGAGCTACAGCGGCAGTGGGATTCCCTAGGCCCGAACGCGACCGACAGAGCATGTGATTCTGTTGACGCGGAGCCGTCTAATGCGGAAGCCGCGCGGCGACGGCGGGAATTGAAATTGCGGGTGGATTCGGAGGGATCGGAGGACGACGTCGACGATCTCCGGTCGAGCCGCTCCGACCGATTAGTTCCCGCGTACTCGAAGCGGCAAGGCCACCATGGCGCACGCAGCATGCGCGCGGGGGGAAAGCTCAAGTGGGGGGAGGATTTCTGGCGGGGGAAGCCGGCGCAGGAGGCGATGCCGCGGGGGTTCACGTTCAAGGGGTATCTCGCGCAGCCCATGGCGGCGCATCCGGTCGGCGTCCCTTCCGACCCGCCGAGCGAGCGCGAGGCGGCGCAGGCTCGGCCGTTCAACGTGCAGGTGCAGGTGTTTAGGCGGGTGCTTCAGGTGATGCGGCGGGTGCGCATCCCCGTGATACACCCCTTCTCGCGCTTCCGCCGCGACGTCAACCTCATCATCGCCCTCTGCATCATTTACAACGTTGTCAGTCCCCCCCCGCCCGCCCCACACCGCTTCTCTGCACTGTTTATCGTGGGCAAAGCGTGACAAATTCCGTGTGAGATGGGTTGTGACGTGGGTGTCAGTGCTGCTCTCGTCTTTTCCATCTCCATCCCTCTCCCACTCCTTCCTTCCCGAAACAGTGCCCCCCTCCTTCCCCCTCCCCCTCCCCCCATTTTCTCCCCCCCGGTGCATGGGCGCGCGCAGTGGGAGGTGTTCTACCAGGTGGCGTTCAACCTGCGCGCGCAGGGCGCGTGGCAGATCGTGGACGCGTGCCTCTCCGCCATCTTCCTCACCGACGTCTTCCTCGGCTTCAAAACCGGGTGAGAGAGGGGTCGGAGGATGCACTTCCCCTCTCATCGTTGCCCTTCTTGCCGGACGCTCCTGGTCTCTTCTGTGTGTCGCCTGCTGTGTTCCTCTGCGTCAACCATTGTTGTACGCTCATGTTTCGTGTGATGTTACGCCTTGCTGCCACGTCACCGTGTGCCACGTGGCGTGTGGTGCTGGCAGGTACGTGACGAAGGAGAAGAACGTGGTGATGGACGACGGCATGAAGGTGCTCAAGCCACAGCAGATCGTCATGGATCAGGTATGCACCGGCTGGCTCTCCCACTCGGCCCTTTCACCACATGCCAGCCCAGCAGCAACTCTCTGGGCAATGGGCATCTTGCACTGTTGGCCGTCCTCACTTGCTCATGAGTTTCCTCGGAGTGATTTCGCTGACCCTCCCGGTGCTGCTTCTCCCGTTTCTCCACACCCCCCCTCTTCCCTCCACGCTCCTACCATCGTCTTCCCCTCCCTGCTCTTCCCCTCCCACCCTCCCCCACTCTCCCTCTCTCAATCCAGTCCCACCTCCATTTCCCCCCTCTTACCCCACAGCGCAAGGTGGTGTGGCACTACCTGCGCACGTGGTTCGCGTTGGACCTGCTCTCGTCACTGCCCTTCGACCTCCTCACCTCGCTCGCCTCCGACTCCCCCGCTGGCTTCTGGATCTCTGCTGTGCGTCCCCCCTGCCGCTCCTGCACATGCATGCTGCCGTGCCTGCCCCCCTGCCTGCCATGCCAACAGCCCGCATGCGCCCGCATCCATGCATCTGCTCTCTGCATGTGTATGCATGCCCATGTGCATTCACGCACAGCTCATAGCTGCCGTTCACTGGACTGCCCCCTACATGAATGTGTACTCCTGTGTGTGTGTGTGTGTGTGTGTGTGTGTGTGTGTGTGTTTGTGCGTGTGTGTGCGTGCGTGCATGCGTGTGTGTGAGCAACAGGCGTTCCGGCTGCTGAAGCTGTTTCGAGTGCACCGGCTGGGCGTGGCAGCGAAGCAGCTGAGGAGCGCCTCCTCTGACACCAACTACATGGACTTCGCCATCCTGCTCTTCCAGGTGCTCCCCCCTCCTGCTTCTCATCCTCATCCTCATCCTCATCCTCATCCTCATCCTCCTCCTCGTCCTCGTCCTCGTCCTCGTCCTCTTCGTCCTCGTCCTCGTCCTCGTCCTCCTCGTCCTCGTCCTTGTCCTCGTCCTCGTCCTCGTCCTCATCCTCATCCTCGTCCTGCTCCTGCTCCTGTTCCACCGCCTCTCCTCTGTAAAAAACAACTGGAGTTCGAATGAGGAAAGTAAGTACGAGCGCCTGTTTGGGTGGCAGTGAGGCATCACGTACCCCACTAGGCTCACATGCTCTCCTCTGCTGCCCTCTCCCTCTGCCTCGCCTCCCCATCCCGCTCCTCAGATCTGCATGCTTTGCCACATAGGCGCCTGCATCTTCGTGCTGATTGGCCGACTGGAGCTGCCGAGCGAGACATGGCTGGCGGCAACCTATTGGAGCCAGGATGGTGTGGCGCAGACGCTGGAATCAGCACCCACTGGCGTCGTCTACGTGGCAGCTATTTATTGGTCCATGGTCACATTCGCTGGGGTGCGTGCGTGCATGCATGCAGTACCCACAGTATCCTTCTCAGCACAGCCTCACGCCATCCCACCTTCACAGCGCTCCTCGCTCCCACCTTACCTTCTCTGCTGCGTCGATTCCATCCATGCACCTGACACCACGTGCCCCTGCATCTCCTTCCCCCTTTTCTTACCTTCGCCCCCTTCCCCCCCTTCCCCTTGCACCCCCACGCCGCCCACCAGGTGGGGTACGGGGACATCCACCCCATGGACACGTTAGCAGAGCGCCTGTTCGCCACGGTGTACATACTGCTCACGGCCATCATGCTGGGCTACACTATTGGCGAGCTCTCCTCCATGGTCTATGCCCGCCGCATGCAGCGCGAATCCATGCGCCAACGCATGCTCACCCTGCACAGGTGCGCGCATGCCATTGTAACGAGGTGACTTTGAGTCGACTCAAAAGTCACCTCAAAAGTCACCTCGTCGCATGCTCACCCTGCACAGGTGCACGCATGGCCTCCCTGCACAGGTGCTGCTCACCTTCTGGCTATTGTAACCTGTTTTCTGCTCTCGCACTTCACCCACCCGCCCTCACTCCCCCCCGCCCGCCCCCTGTGATGTGCGTTCCCTGCATCCGTGCCCTGCATCCGTGCCCAAGCTCCTCCTGGGGCCTCCTCCTCCTGGGGCCTCCTCCTCCTGGGGCCTCCTCCTCCTGGGGCCTCCTCCTGGGGCCTCCTCCTCCTTGGGCCTCCTCCTCCTCCTCCGGCCCATGCATGCAGGTTCATCGAGAGGGAGCGCCTCCCAGAGTGGCTCGCCAACCGCATGGTGCGCTCGCCTGCCCTCCACCCCCTGCCCCCTCATGCCTCTGCCATCCCTATGCCTCTGCCATCCCCATGCCTCTGCCATCCCCATGCCTCTGCCATCCCCATGCCTTCGCCGTTTGATTGCCTTCTCCAAACTTTTGCATCTTCCACCCCATGCCTCTTCGCTCCCCATGCCTCTTCTGTCAAACTAACGAACGAGAATGATGAACTATGAAACAGTTGGGTACAAGTACTAACCTTAATTGGGTTGTACCCCTTATGGGCTACCCCACTACAGCCTACACAAATGTATAAGCTATAATGTTCTGACACATCCCCATAGGCAAAGTGGGGGAGATCAAGTGGTCACAAGACCAGTGAAGAAAAGCAAAACAAGCTCAGGGTGGATCACAAAGTCACCACATAGTCTGAGCACAAGCAAAGGGCCACAAGGTCAGTTCACATGCAGAGTTATATAAAAAGAACAAATAATACAGTGATCATACCATAGCAAGTGCAAACATGCAGGTAAATATATAGATCACAGTACAAGCAGAGTCAAAAAGTAAGTAAGTGAGGCAAAGTGGGCACAAAGCCTAACAGAGTAGCAAAGCGCTGATGATCACCAGGCGGAAGTGTCTTGGTGAAGACATCAGCAGTGTTGGCCCGAGTGGCCACGTACGCAAGACGAAGCTGGCCAAGATGCTGCAACTCTCGAGCAAGGAAGTATCGCAGAGCGATGTGCTTCGTTCTGTGCTCCAGTCTGTGCTCCCGACACAAGGCAATCATGACCTTGTTGTCTACGTACAGAACTGGAGGCGAACGAGGCAGCTCGCCCAAGTCGGTCAGCAGGTAGGTGAGCCAGCGGAGCTCCTGAGCAGCCATAGCCCCGGCGTAGATCTCAGCCTCACAACTGGAGCTGAGAACCGAAGACGAGCGTGTACACCGCCACGACACAGAGCCAGAACCAAGACTGAAGGTGTAACCCTGTGACGACCGCTGCGTAGCTGAGTCGTCAACCCAGGAGGCGTCTGCGTGACCGGCGAGAACAACTGGACCCCGTCCTCCAAGCACGAGCCCCATGCCCGACGTACTGCACAGGTAACGCAGTACCCTCTTCGCAGCATCCCAGTGCACCTTTCGGTGCCTACCGGGAGCCACGTAGCGAGCCAAAAGACTGAGAGGGTACGCGAGGTCAGGTCGTGTGCAAGTCATCAGGTACATGAGGCAACCCACAAGCTCTGGGTACGGACCACTCGGCTCTACGGACTCGTCCGAAGGTGGAGCTGAGAGCGAGTGGCTGGTAGACAGAGGAGTGGGCTGTGGCGAGGAGAACTAGAAGCCAAAACGTTGAAGGACCTGGTGCACCATGTGTGACTGAGTCAGTGTGATGGTGCGCCGTGCTCTGTCCCGGGTGATCTGCAGGCCAAGATAGCTGCGCAGTTCACCCAGGTCAGTGCATGTGTGTCTCTTCTACAGCTCCGACTTCACAAGGGTCAGTGCCTCAGTGTCAGCAGTGGCAAAGACGAGGTCGTCGACGTACATGAGGACGTAGAACGGCGGCAGAGAGGTGTCGGTGCGTAGAAACAGTGACGGGTCAGCAGTAGAAAGAGCAAACCCAAGAGCCGGAAGTGTAGTCCTCTGCGTGTCGTGCCACTCGCGAGGCGCCTGGCGGAGACCGTAGACTGGCCGGCGGAGGCTCCATTGGGTACCTGCAGGAAACGTCATTGTGAAACCAGGTGGTCGGCGCAGCCAGATCTCCTCGTGCAGGCTGCCCTGCAGGAAAGCTGTGCTGAAGTCCAGAGAGTGCAACTCGTAGTCACGCTGAGCAGCGACGTGCAGCAACATCCGAAAAGTAGTCATCTTCGGGGTGGGGGAGAAGGTCTGGAAGTAGTCAACTCCCTGTCGCTGACTGAGACCTCGAGCAACGTAACGCTCCTTGAAGGCAGGCGGAGAACCCGGCGGCCGCTTCACCCTGGAAATCCACATGCCATCGACTATGTTCGCCCCAAGTGGGGGAACCTCGTCGACGTAGGTGCCTGTGGACTTCCAGGATGCCATCTCGGCATCCATGGCTGCCTGCCACTAAGAGGAGTAAGGACACGAAATCGCCTCTGCGTACGGGATGTCTGGAGCATCCGGGTCTCCCTCAGGGGCAAGCAGCATGGAAGCGAAACGAGGTATAGCAGCTGCAAGACACTCAAAGTCCTCCTGCCTGTCCTCAAAGACGTTCGTGCCAAGAGCACACTCACCCCCGACGGACGGAGGACTGGCAGAAGCAGACTCAGCAACAAGAGGAGTGGCGTAGTCAAGACGACAGGCAGCAGCAAAGTCAAGCAGCTCAACAACGAGAGCAGACGCAGCAGCAGACTCAAAAGAAGGGTCTGTGACAGCAATGGCGAGAGGAACACGTAGTGGAACAGAGGAAGGACGGAGTGCCATAGCGTGCGTGCCGGGGACAGGCGAAGGACGCGAACGTGGAGCGCGACGAGTAGTGCGAACAGGCGAGACAGGACGAGACGCAGGCTCACGACGCTCTGTAAGACCGCCGGACTGCTCAGTGTAAGGAGAGGGAGCAGGTAGTGGGGAGGCGGGCTGTAACGGCGGCTGCAACTGGTCAGGCGGAGGACATAGGAGAGGAGGAGGAAGGCCGGTAGAAAACGGGGTACCAAGAACCTGCTGAAGCAGAGGAACAAAGTATGGTCGCGGCCGCACAGTGCCTCCAGCACCTCCAGCGCAAGGGTCAATAACTCCAGTGCCTCCAGCTCCAGTGCCACCAACTCCAGCTCCGGCAGCTCCAGCGCCTCCTGCGCCAGGGCCTACAACTCCAGCACCCTCAACACCACCAGTCTCGGCAGCTCCATCACCCCAGGTACGAGCACCTCCAGGACCAGTAGCCGCGGCACCTCCAGCACCACTAGCTCCAGCAGCAACTCCAGCACCTCCAGCTCCAGCAGCTCCAGCACCTCCAGCCCCGGTGGCTCCACTCCGAAGGCGTGCGCGTCGAACAAACCACTCACGCAGCTGCTGCGGAGACTGTCTCGGCGAAGCACCAGCAGAACCTCCAGACAAAGCAGCACCCTGAGGCTCAGCACCCCCAGACTCCGCACCCTCCGACGCAGCACCCCCAGGCTCAACACCCTCAGGCTCAGCACCCCCAAGCTCAGCACCCCCAGTCCCAACACGACCAGGCTCAGCACCCCCTGTCTCAGCACCCTCAGACTCCGCACCCCCAGGCTCCGCACCCCCAGACGCAGCACCTCGAGCAGCACCTGAGCCGACAGCTACCTGAACAGGCGCAGGACCAGGGAGAGGGTCTACCTGGGACACACCTGAGGGAGCTGGACCCTGGGGCGGGAGAGGGTCTACCGGAGGGGGACCGGGAGCAAGGAAGAGCGGCGGGGGCGGGGGAGGGGTAGAGCGGCGGGGGCGGGGGAGGGGTAGAGCGGTAGGGGAAGAGACGGTAGAAGGGAACTGACTCGTCGAACGTGACGTCCTGAGACGGGATGACACGGCGCAAGGTGGGGTGGTAAAACTGCCAGCCAGGCGCGTCAAGGACAAAGCCAAGGAAGACGCAGGGGATAGTACGTGGGAAGAGCTTGTCTGTATACGTATCGCGAACCAAGGCACGAGATCCCCAGACCCGGAACATCGACGCATCGCCAACCTCCCCCGTCCAACGCAGTGTGGGCGAGGTCTCCGGCAAGGAGACACGGGGCCAGAGGTTGAGCTGATGCGCAGCGTACTGGACCGCAAACGGCCACAGAAAATAGGGAGCAGCCGCATGGATCATGGAGGTACGAGCGACCTCCATGACTAAGCCAATGCGTCGCTCAGCAATCCCATTTTGCTGAGGGGAGTCCGGAAGCGTGAACGACTGGAGAATGCCCTCCCCACGACAAAACTCCCTCAAGAGGTTGGAGGAGAATTCACCACCTCTGTCAGAGTGCAGACGCAGGACAGGAAGGTCCTGGCCGAAGCGCTCGCGGAGCTGAAGACGGACAGTGCGGATCCAAGGGATCAAAACATCAAGGACCTGACCCTTGGTGCGCAAGGGGAAGACCGTGGTGTACCGCGTGTAGTCGTCAACAACCAGCAATAAGTAGCGCTCGCGGCCCTGGGTACAGACTTGACCCTGGCCGACGAGTGAACGTGGCCAGGTAACGTCCCGTCCGTGTGCACGTGCAGATTGACACACGCTGACCCCCAGGAGTGGTGGTAGTGACCATCGCATCCTGGAGGGCAGCGGTACTCACCAAGTTCGTAGAGAACGAGGGGAGGTGAAGACCTGACAGTGAGCCGGACGGAACCGCCGGTCACGGGAGGACAGTGGAGGAACGGGCCACGGCCGGTCCCCTGGAGGGGTCAGCCAGCCTGACCGGCATAGATGCAGGAAGAGGAGTGAGGGTGGTGCTGTCACGAAAGAAACAGCACGAGGCGCCTGAGTCCAACGTGAAGGTGTGCAAAGCCTCAGCAGGCGCAGTACCAGGGAGAGTACCAGACTCACTAGCACCTAGAGCAGCAGCAGCTATACCTGGGTCAGGCGGCACACACCGGTAACAGTCACCCTCAGCACTAATAGACAAAGCATACATAGCAGAAAGAATTGCATCAAAGGTTAGATCAAAGATAGCAATCCTAGACTTAAGCAGATCTGCCCAGCGAGGGAGCTTGACGTCGTCACCAAACTCAGCACGGCAAGCGTCGTCGAGGCGGGAGAAGCAGCGGTGCTGAGTGTAGAGCCTCCCGCAAGTCTGACCAGCACGGTCACCCGTGCGAATGACATACGGGCAACTACCCCCAGACGCCCCACCCAGAAACCACTCACGAAGCTGCTGGGGATACGGGGTCTCGCCCCGACGCTGCTGCTGCTGACGCTGGCCACCCCCAGAACCGACACGCCGAGCTCCAGTCCCACCGCCACCAATCCCACCGCCTCCACTGCCGCCACTCCCACCGCTGCCTCCACCACTGCCACCAGAGCCCCCACTCCCACCAACAGTCCCACCGTCGCCACTACCTCCACTGCTGCCCCCACCACTACTCCCGCTGCCACCTCCACCACCGCCGCTGCCACCACCACCACCTCGGCCACCCTTGCCCTTGCTGCTGCGGCGCTTCGCACTTGCAGAAGCAGCCCCGACGTCCTTACGAACAGAGACATCTGCAGGAGCAGCAGAGGCGTAGGAGGGGGCAAGGGGGGAGGGGGAACACCCCTCAAAGAAGGGCGGGCGTGGAGTGCCACGAGCAGCACCTACAGCAACTGCACTAGTCTCAGCTGCGAGGAGATGCTGCTCGAAGAGGTCAACAGTGAAGGTGGGGTCAAGAGAGAAGAAGTGGTCCCTGACAGAGCGAAGAGAGTCAGGGAGGCGGGTGACTATAAAGTAGAGAGTGATGTACATCGGGGGCGGGTTCCTATCAAGGAACTCAGCAGGAACGGCAGCGCGATAGCGAGCGTCACTAGCGCGAAGGTGGGAAACCAGGTCCTCGACTGTGGCACTGGCGGACAGCTCGGGGAACAGGTAGGGCAAAAGGAGGCGGCCTAGAGCAGCAGTGGCAGGGGAGGAGTAGCGGGCGACTACAGCGTCGTACAGTTCCTGTGCTGTCCTGAGCTGTCCGAAGTGAGCGCACTCAGCTAATGGCAGGTGATTGCGAATGGCTAAGCGGGCAACAGCGTGTCGAGTAAGCCACTGTGAGCGAGTCGAACTGTCGGCTGTGGTTGGAGGGGTAGTAGCAACTCCTGACGCTAGATCTAAAAGCGAGACACTGTCCTTAGAATCGCTCAGTAGGTACAGCTGCAGGTCGTCAAGCCACGTGTCAAACTGAACTGGTCTACCCTCATGATCAAACGCAAGGACACGAAGCGAAGCCATAGCTGTGTGGTACGTAAGAGCAGCAGTAGCAGCTGTAGCAGTAGCAGCTGTAGCAAGAGCAGCGGTGACAGTGGGGCTAAGAGGCCGCCGGGGCCGGGCGCGAGCTAGGGACGGGGCCGGGCGCGGGCTAGGTACGGGGCCGGGCGCTGGCTAGGTACTGGGCCGGGCGTGGGCTCGGTACGAGGCCGGGCGCGGGCTAGGTACGGGGCCGGGCGCGGGCTAGGTACGGGGCCAGGCTCTGGGCAGGTACAGAGCCGGGCGTGGGGCGCGAAATGGGGCCGGGCGCAGGGCTAGGTACGGGGTCGGGCGCGGGCTAGGTCCTGGGCCGGGCGCGGGGCTAGGTACGGGGCCGGGCGCGGGCTAGGTACGGGGCCGGGCGCTGGGCAAGGGACGGGGCCGGGCTCTGGGGAGGTACGGGGCCGGGCGTTGGGCGCGATACGGGGCCGGGCGCGATACGGGGCCGGGCGCGATACGGGGCCGGGCGCAAGGCTAGGTACGGGGCTGGGCGCGGGCTAGGAACGGGGCCGGGCGTTGGGCGCGATACGGGGCCGGGCGCGATACGGGGCCGGGCGCTAGGCTAGGTACGGGGCCGGGCGTTGGGTGCGGAACGGAGGCCGGCGCGAGGCTAGGTACGGGGCCGGGCGCGATACGGGGCCTGGCGCGATACGGGGCCGGGTGCGAAACGGGGCCGGGCGCGATACGGGGCCGGGCGTGAGGCTAGGTACGGGGCCGGGCGCGGGCTAGGTACGAGGCCGGGCGCGGGGCTAAGGGCGGACGTGGCCGGGCGCGGGCTAGGAACGGGGCCGGGCGCGGGCTAGGGGTCGACGGGCCGCGTAGGCTAGGAGCGATGGGCCTAGGGGCGGTTACTAGCAGCGTAGCAGGTGGTGGGCCCAAGGAACCTGCTCTGATACCATGTCAAACTAACGAACGAGAATGATGAACTATGAAAGAGTTGGGTACAAGTACTAACCCTAATTGGGTTGTACCCCTTATGGGCTACCCCACTACAGCCTACACAAATGTATAAGCTATAATGTTCTGACATCTTCCATCCCCGTGCTTCGCCCATCCCATGCCTCTTCCATCCCCGTGCTTCGCCCATCCCATGCCTCTTCCATCCCTGTGCTTCGCCCATCCCATGCCTCTTCCATCCTCGTGCCTGTTCCACTGTGCTGCCACGGCTGCCCCCTGCGACTGCAGATGGCGTATCTGATGCGGCAGTGGCAGGCGTCAGTCAACAGCAAGTTTGAGGAGCTTGAGCTCATGCAGAGCCTCACTGTGAGTCTTATCTGCTTCCCACCGTCGTTTTTCGACCCAACATAAAAAAGTCCAATCACTTAATCTGCTGGCTCCTCTTGCTTTGCGCCTTGATCCCCTCTCCCTCGCTCTCTCTCCTCCTCCACTGTATCTCTTACCCCCGGATCCCCTCCACCCCTGCCCTTGTGTGTGCATGGGTGCATGGGCACAGGACGATCTACGCACGGACCTCTTCGTGCACTGGTGGACGCAAGACGTGCCTGCCAGGTCGCCACCACCCCTCCCTCCACTGCTGCCGTGCCACTCGCTCCTCCTGCTTCGTTTCTCCTTGCCACTATGCCTTGCCACCTTCCCCCTCTCACCACCTCCCAGCCTTCCACTTATCACCCTCTGCTGTCCGTTCGCTCCCATTCCTTCCCTCTTCTCCGCTCACATCCCAACGCCCTCCCCTCTCCCTCCTCCCCCCTGCCTCGCAGCCCTTTCTTCCCGCACGAGCAGCAGTGCCTGGCGAGTCTGCAGCGCGTGTTGGTGCCGCGTGCGGTGGCAGCGGGGGATGTGGTGGTGAGGGAGGGCGAGGTGAGCCGCCACCTGTACGTGGTGCGCTCGGGCACCCTCGAGATGTCCTGGGCCCTGCAGGGCGTGGACACCCTTGTCGAGACTGCGGCCACGCTGCCAGGCAAACCCATGGTAGGCTTGGGGGGGGGAGGGGGGATAGCCAGTTTGGGGATGCAAGAGAGAGTTGGCAAAGGTGGTGGTGCTGTTCATTTGTACGTCTATCTCTGCTCGCTCCGCACGGCTCCTGTGATCTCGGAACCTCATGACTCCTTGCCTTTTGCCACGATCGTTGCTGCTTCTCCCCGTAAGTGATCTTCCTCCCATTCCCCAGTCCCCGCTCTTGCCTCTTACCCACCTCCTCCCCCCCCCAGCTGGGCACCGAGGGCATGAAGCTGGCGCGGGCGGTGAGCATGAGGCGCTGCCAGGTGCGCTCCATGCAGCGCCAGGCCAGCTGCTCGTCTCATGGCAGCCCAATGGCTCCGCCACTCAACTCCACGCCCGCCGCCGCTGCTGTGTGCACCCCCAAGCCCATGCATACCCCGCATGGGAAGAGCAGCAGCAACGGCATAGAATATGCAGGGGACGTGCATGGTGCTGATGCCTCACCTGCTCAAGCACGTGCAGGCGAACCACACCATGCGGACGATGGGGACAGCCTTACCATGGTTGGGTGCTCGCCTTGTGTGCGGCGCACGCGTGTGTACGATTCATCGCTCTGCACCATTGAGAGCAGCAGCCTCGAGCACAGCGACTCACGCGGGTCAGGGGATGGGTCCCCGTTGCCTGGCGACAGCATTGAGCCACTGCGGGAGGGCGCAGGGGAGGGGTGTGGGGAGGGCGCAGGGCCCAGGGGTGTGAACGGCGCTGTGCCGCGGGTGCACAGCGCAGCGGCATCGCATGAGAGCTATGGGTCGGTGCGGCATGAGAGCCACCTGCTGGGGCAGGCAGCGTTTGAGAGCAGGACGGTGGGCGTGGGCCATGTGATCGGGCTGGACGGGCTCTCAGAGGTGCTTGAGCTGCAGACAGGCGAACCTTCGTGGATAGAGCAACGAGTCCCCTTCCTCTTCATGGAAGGAACCTTCCAGGTATGCACCTGGTTTGTTGTTTTCTCACGCCACTTGGGTGTTTCTTACATAGCCTTAACACCTGCATTTTTGTTCGGCCATTTTCTCAAGTGGGTTTTTGCCCTGGTGGCTGGGATGGGCTGCGCATGTGGGCAGGCAAAGACGGAGTGTGAGCTGCTGCTGCTGCTAATCGACGATCTCTTTGACACGCTTGAGAGTTTTCCGGAGCTGCTAACAGCGCTGCGCTTGAGCCTGGGCTTGCCGCTAACAGAGCAGGAACAGCTGGTGCAGTACCGCAGGGCCCTCAGCACACGCAATAGGAGGAACACATCCTCGCATCAAGCCAAGTCGAATCGCAAATAAGGATACTAGATTCTGACAAATTGGCACATGCCATGAGCTGTGTCTCACAGCATTATGAGGAGTCATACATTCTAGTTACCGGTAGTGTGGGATTATCGCTGTATAGTAGAGTTATTTATAATAATAGCGAGTTTGGCCTGGTTGAGGAAGAATCGAGGGTGAGGCGGCGGCTCGTCATCAGACGGATTCGCTCGCTTCCCTGCTCACATACTCCGAATATATCTCAGCGGACAAGCAAGTCCACCCGGCCCTAATTATTCTACAGCAGCACGGCCTTCCATTGCCATTCTGTCCAACACACTCCTCGGCGATCCAATGCTATTCTCGCGTGCCTGTCAGTACGTTCTGATTTATTCATACCACTGAATCTCGTAAACCGTAGAGCTATTTAGCTTACGATGCACTGCTCGCGTAATGCCTAATCTTCGGGCAGGCGAGGAGTTAGAGCTGAAGCACGACGGTAATCGCCGTTACGGTTGCATTGAGGATTCCACTCTTCAATAATTTATGCGGGCCGTCTCAGCTGTGGGTCCCAGCAGTGGCGCGCAGCGATGGTGACGTCAGTGTCTGCGTCGATGATGATCGACGCGGCGTCTCACTCCCACTCGCACACTTACCCGCACTCTCACTCGCACTCTAACTCTCACTCTTACCCTCACTCTCACTCCCACTCTAACGAGCACGCCAATCGCGCCCCCACCCGCAGCGATCGCCCGTGGCGCAAATCGGCGTCGCACCGCAACGCGGACCACGATGCGGCCACCGCCACCTACGCGGCACAGCGCCGCCAGTCGCGGCTCGACTTCCAGACGGAGCGCCTCGGCTCGCCAGCGGAGCAGCGCGTGGAAGGCGGGTCGCTGAACCAGCGCATGATGGAGGGGCGCGGCGACGCCATGGACCACTCGAGCGAGCCGCGCCTCGACACCTCCGGCAGCTGCTCGTCGCCGTCGTCGCTCGACGTGCTCCCCGTGTCGCCCCTCCCCGCGTCGGCCCTTCCCGTGTCGCCCTTCGACGTGCTCCATCTGCCCGTGCCAGACGGGGGGGAGCGGCCCGACGGGGACGGCACGAGCAGGAGCGGGGTGAGTGGGGGGCGGGGAGGGGCGGAAGGGGAACCGCTGCCGGGCGGCAAGCCGCTGTTCGGGCAGCGGCGGTTGCGCGCGAGGCTGTGGCGGTCCGCCAAGGAGCTGCGCGACGACGACCCGGGCGACGACGTCGCGCTCTCCTTCGCGGACGACGCGCCACCCGCGCCCGCGCCACTCAAGGCGCGCTCGCCCTTCCAATGGGTGATGAAAAGCGCCTCGTTTGGCGTGTTCGCGCCGGGCGGTGGGGACGACGGCAGCAGCAGCTGCAACAGCAGCGACAGCGGCGGCAGCACGCGCAGGTCGGGGGGGAAGGAGGGGGCGACGCGGGTGGCGCTGGAGGAGTATATGAACGTGCCCATGCAGCTCAGACCAGGGCACTCCAGCGAGAGCGAGCCGCCCAACGCGGAGCAGATGGGCGCGCGGCAGTGGTGGCGCGGAGGGCCGTGCGTGGTGGCGTTCAAGGCGGCGCTGGCGGCGGCAATGCGCGTGCGCATCCCCATCGTGCACCCCTACTCGCGCTTCCGACGAGATGTGAACCTCATTGTGGGGGCCTGCATCGCCTACAACCTCGTGAGTCACCCCCTCTGCTGCGCGTTGCTTCTGTGCATTGCTTGTATGCGCCTCATGCATCCCCCTGGGCTCCCAGCCAGCACCTCTCTCTCATGGCTTGCGTGTGTCAATACGGACTCCTCTGTGTGCCACACCGCGCACTGCATGCCCATGCCCATGCCCATGCCCATGCGCCATGCGTGTGTGGCGCCATGTTATGGCAGTGGGAGGTGCTGTACATGGTGGCGTTCGACCTGAGGGCCACGGGCGCGTGGCTCATCCTCGACTCCTGCCTCTCCCTCGTCTACCTCGCCGACGTGCTGCTCGGCTTCAAAACCGGGTGGGTCACCCCACACACCACACCACGCGCGCCATGGGGGGGGGGGGGGGGGCATACCCGGTGGGCCATTGGGGTTGAGCACCAAGTGGTGGGGGTTCTTATGAGGCATGCTATGGGCGTGGGAAGGGGGCGGAGGCGTGAAGAACAAATGGGGGCGTGGATAGCAGTTGAGGGTGAGAGCAGGTTGGTGTGTCCTTGCAACCCGTCACTGCCTGCCGCACTTCACGACTCTCCTACCCAATACCTCCCTCCCCCTCCAGCCCCCCCACATCGACCCGTTTACTCCCATCCCGTTTATGCCATTCGCACCCTCCTTCCGCCCTCCCCTTGCCCTCCCCTCGCCCTCCCCTTGCCCTCTCCTTGCCCTCCCCTCGCCCTACCCTCGCCGTCTCGTTGCCCTCCCCTCGCCCTCCCCTCCCTTGGGCATTGTTATGGTGGGGGCGCGCAGGTACCTGACGAGGGAGAAGCACGTGATGGGGGAGGGCGGGGTGAAGATGATGCTGCCACAGCAGATCGTCATGGACCAGGTCAGCCACGCCCGCCCTGTCACCTCGTGCCACCACGTACCACCTCATACCACCACACCACACGCCATCATCTGCCACCAGCTGCGTTGCTTGCTTAACCCCACCGCCCACCTCCTTCTTCCACTCCCCTCCCCCCCCCCCATTCCCGCCCCCTTCTACCTGGTGGCAACCATGGCAGCGGCGCATAGTGTGGCACTATCTGCGCACGTGGTTTGTGGTGGACGTGCTCTCATCGCTGCCCATCGACCTCATCATCTCCTCCGCCCTCGCCCAGTCCAGCGTCGGCTTCTGGCTCTCCGCCGTCAGTCCCCCGCCCGCCCCTCCCTCATCCTACCCTCGCTCCCCTCCCTCCGTTTCCCCCTCTCCCCCCTCCCCTTCCCCACCCATCCCCTCTCGTTCCCTCCCGTCTTCCTTTTCCACCTGCTTCTTTGAATATCGTACTCCCTTTTCACACCTCCTTCCTTCTCCTTCTGCATGCCCCATGCTCTGCTCGTCCCTCCCGCCCACTCACCTCCTACTCGTCCTCCCTCCCTATTTCCCTCTTCCTACTCCTTCTACGCTTCCTTCCCCTTCCCCTCCCCCCACTCGCCCCCTTCTCCCCCCGTGCTGCCAGCCAGGCGTTGCGGCTGCTGAAGCTGCTGCGGCTGAGGCGGTTGGGGCAGGCGACGCAGCAGCTGAGGCAGTCCGCGCTGGCGGGGCTCTACATGGAGATGACCATTCTCGTGCTGCAGGTGGGTGGTGGGAGGGATGGGCATACCACTGTCCACGGGAGCACCAACTCATCCCTCACATCACCCACACCTTCCATGCTCCCACACCCCTGGCCTCGCTGCCGTGCCCCTCTCGATCTCACCCCCCTCCCTCCACCCCTTCTCCCCCCAAATCCATTCTCTTCCCCCTACGATCCACCCTCTTCCACCCTCTGCGCGCCTGGCAGATCTGCATGGTGTGCCACGTGGGCGCGTGTGCCTTTGCGCTCATCGGTCGCCTCGAGACGGCACCGGAGTCGTGGCTAGCGGCGTTTAACTGGAGCAACGGGGGCAGCCAGGAGACGCTAGAGAGTGCACCGCACGGAGTAGTGTACGCCGCTGCCTACTACTGGGCCATGGTCACCTTCGCCTCTGTGCGTCCCCCACCTGTCCTCCAAGCCCCTCTCCTCCTCTACTTCTGCCTCTTCCTGCCTGCTGCTGCCCTCTTCTCTCTGCACCTCGTCTTTAAACCCCCCTGCCTACCAAGCTCGCCTGCAAGCCACACGTCCCACTCACCTCATTCCTCAATTCCTCCCACAACCCCCACATCCCCCACAACCCCCACATCCCCCACACCCACTCCACCTCCTCCCATTACCACTCCACCTCCTCCCATTACCACTCCTTGCCTGCCTCCCTCCCACCTCCCTTGGCGACCTCCTGTCATCATGCATGTGCGCGCTGTGCTCTCTGCATTATACCCTCTCGTTCTTATTGGTTCCATCATCCCTCCTCCCCCCTCCTCTGCCTTTCATCACCACCCCCCCACCAGGTGGGGTACGGGGACATCCACCCGGTGGACACGCTAGCAGAGCGCCTCTTGACAACGGGGTACATGCCCCTTTCCACTCCCCCTCCCCTCCCCCTCCCCCTCCCCTCCCCTGCATGCCCCATCCACCAGGTGGGGTACGGGGACATTCACCCCGTCGACACACTAGCAGAGCGCCTGTTCGCCACAGCCTACATCCTGCTCACGTCCATCCTGCTGGGCTATGCCATCGGGCAGATCTCCTCCCTCATCTACTCCAGCCGCGCGCGCCGCGAGTCCGTGCGCCAGCGCTGCAGCACGCTGCACAGGTGCCATTGCCACCACCACCGCCACTGCCCTCCCTCTCCCCTGCTGCTCTGCCCTTCTCCACTGCTTGCTCCTTAAACCATCAGCTGAACCACCTTTTGCAACCTTCTAGCACCTCACGAATCTCATCCCCTCGTCCTCATGCCGTCATCCTCATTGCCTCGCCTCATTCCTTCATCGCCTCTCGTCGCTGCTGGCAGGTTCATTGAGAAGGAGGAGATCCCCGACTGGCTCGCCAACCGAATGGTATTTTCTGCCCTGCGCTCTGCGCTCTCTGCTCTCTGCTCTCTGCTCTCCGCTCTGTGCTCTCTGCTCTGTGCTCTTCCCCTTTCTTCCTTTTCCCCTTCTTCCTGCAACGTGAGGCTCCCCCTTTTCCCTACACCCCCCCCCTCCTGTGCAGATGGTGAGTCTGACAGGCAAGTGGCAGTCGGAGTTGACGCAGCGCTTCCACGAGGGGGACCTCGTCGACGCACTCTCTGTGAGTCCAGCCCGCCCCACACTTGCCCTGCTCTTCACCCTTCACCCTCTTCCCTCGCTTTCCACTCCGCACCGTTGCTCACTCACGCCCTCCTCTCCCCCTGTCCCATCTGAATATGCTGGTGGCAGGACGATCTGAGGGCGGACCTCTTTGTGCACTGGTGGCAGCGCCACGTGCCTTCCAGGTGAGCCTCTCACTGGTGGCAGCGCCACGTGCCTTCCAGGTGAGCCTCTCACTGGTGGCAGCGCCACGTGCCTTCCAGGTGAGCCTCTCACTGGTGGCAGCGCCACGTGCCTTCCAGGTGAGCCTCTCACTGGTGGCAGCGCCACGTGCCCTCCAGGTGAGCCTCTCACTGGTGGCAGCGCCACGTGCCTTCCAGGTGAGCCTCTCACTGGTGGCAGCGCCACGTGCCCTCCAGGTGAGCCTCTCACTGGTGGCAGCGCCACGTGCCCTCCAGGTGAGCCTCTCACTGGTGGCAGCGCCACGTGCCCTCCAGGTGAGCCTCTCACTGGTGGCAGCGCCACGTGCCCTCCAGGTGAGCCTCTCACTGGTGGCAGCGCCACGTGCCCTCCAGGTGAGCCTCTCACTGGTGGCAGCGCCACGTGCCCTCCAGGTGAGCCTCTCACTGGTGGCAGCGCCACGTGCCCTCCAGGTGAGCCTCTCACTGGTGGCAGCGCCACGTGCCCTCCAGGTGAGCCTCTCACTGGTGGCAGCGCCACGTGCCCTCCAGGTGAGCCTCTCACTGGTGGCAGCGCCACGTGCCCTCCAGGTGAGCCTCTCACTGGTGGCAGCGCCACGTGCCCTCCAGGTGAGCCTCTCACTGGTGGCAGCGCCACGTGCCCTCCAGGTGAGCCTCTCACTGGTGGCAGCGCCACGTGCCCTCCAGGTGAGCCCTGCACCTCCCCCGTCACTGGCGACCCTCACATGCAACTGCCGCGCCTGACCAATCCTACTCACTCCACCACGCCCCTTGGCACCTCCTTTCCTCCCCACCGGACCACCATCCTCCAGCAAAATTATCATCCTTGGCCATCCCTCCCTGCCCCCCTCGCCCCCCTGGCAGCCCCATGCTGCCGCACAACCACACGTTCCTGGCGCACCTGTTCCCGTGCATGATAGTGCGCCATGTGGCGCCAGCAGACGTGATAGCGAGCGAGGGCGAGTTCACGAGGCACCTCTACATTGTGCGCTCCGGCACCCTCAACGTCACTCGCCTCAAGGATGGGCCCCCGCCCGCACTCGCGCTCACCCACGCCACTGCTGAGGTGGCGGGCTGTGAAGCTGACGTGGATGGGTGTGCGGTGGAGGGGAAGGGCGGCGTGGGGGAGGTGCAGCTGCCAGCTGTACGTCGCGCCACCCGCTCCGCGTCCTGGTTGTTTGGTCACACTTAAAAGCACGATTCGTTTTGTCACTTGCCCACCTGCATGTCCTGTCCCTCATGCGTGCCCCTGCCCTGTCACACACCGTTCTCTGAATGCGCCTGCATCTGCATGTGCTCCCGTCCACCCTGTACCTTCCATCCAACCTGCTACAATCCTCTCCCTTCCCTCCCCTTGGCTTTCTCTCCCCTCTGCCTGCCTTCCTCCCACCGGCCAGGAGGTGGTGATGGCACTGCAGGAGCATGGGGGGCCGGCGGGGGGCAGAAGAAGCGGGTCCATTGCAGTACTGCCAGTGGGAGGGCCGCTGGGAGGGTCGCTGGGAGGGTTGCTGGGCACAGCGGGGGCAGGGGTGGCGGGGGTGGGCGTGATGCAGAGGCGTGCGATGGGGCGGTCGCTGGCAGTGCAGGAGGCGGTGCCGGCAGTGGTGGGGGGGACAGTGGGGTACGAGAAGGATTGTGTGGGCGAGGGGCATGTGGCGGGCGTGGAGGGGCTGAAGGCGGCTCTGGAGATGCGGCAGGGGGAGGAGGAGTGGAGCAGCCAGCGCGTGTCCGTCTTCTGCATGGCCGCCTCCTTCCAGGTGCCCCACCCCCCGCCACCCCTAGCGCCCCCTGCCATGCCCGCACTCACTACTCCCCGTGCTTCCCTCGCTGCCCGTGCCACACAGCACACACCCTCAGGACCCCTCCTCCCCCCCCTTCCCCCTCCCAGCAGGCGAAGACGGAGTGCGAGGTGTACCTGCTGCTGCTGGACGACCTGTTCGATGCCCTCGAGAGCTTCCCCGAGCTGCTCACTGCCATGCGCACCGCGCTGGGCCTGCCCCTCGCACCCGACGAGTACCTGGCGCGGCCGCGCCTCATGACCTCGCACCGCAGCTTCAAGGGGCTGCAGAGGAACAAGAGCCAATTGCGCCCCACGCCCTTCAGGGCGGACAGCAGCAGCAGCAAGACGCTGTCGTTTGGCAAGGGCCGCGTGATGAGAGTCAGTAGCAGCTCCATGCTCCAATCATTCCAAGGATGACGCTTCACACCCAGCTCCCAGATTGATTCGCCTGAGTTTGTAACGCGACCGACCAGGCAATGGATGTGTACATGTACGTATGTTTCAGCCTGTCCATTGACAGTTGGACTCAGTTGTTACGATGTCCAATCAGGAACCCACAGCTTTTTTAGTGAGCAGCTGGCCTAGGTATTTAATATTTTTTTAGGATCACGATGTGTTCAGCTCTGCTTTGATTAAGACCAGCCTGGCCCACTCATCATAGCCAATCACAGACCTTTAGCACATAATTACAGAAGATAAAAGATGCTGGATGTGAATTCCACTGTATGCACAAGACCACCACAGACCCATCTTTCCACATGAGTGACCAGCTAGGGAGCAGCAGCAGCAGCAGTGAGGCCATGGCGGGCCACGACTCTCCTGACGGCAGCAGCAACAGCCTCACTGGCTGCCAGCCCGCCCGCTGCCATGAGTGCTGCAAACTCACGCCTGATCTCCGCTTGCACTGCCTCCTTCAACCGCGCCTCTGCACTGCCTGCTGCTCTTGATGATGCTGCTGTTGCTGCTGCCGCTGCTGCTGCTGCTGTTGAGGTTGCTGGTGCTGCTGCTGCTGTTGACGTTCCTTCAACTGCATCTGATGCCTCTGACTGCCCTTCTTCTCCAATCTGCCTATCATCCGCGCCACCATCACAATGGGTCCCGCGGGCGACTGCTGCTGCTCCTGCTGCTGCTGCACCTACTGCTGGCAGGGCGCTGCTCGAATTCAAGACAGCGTCAGGCGCAGTAACAGATGCGGACGGAGGGTGTAGCAGCTGTGCAGGGATGCTGTAGCTGGGGGACGAGCTGATGGGAGAGGGCGCGGGGAAGGGCGCACGAGGCGCGGCGCCGTACTTAAGAGTGGTCTCCAGCTGCTGCAGCAGCGGCGCTGCGGGGAGAAAAGCACAAGCGAGGACAGCAGAATGGGGATGGGGATGGGGGGTTGCGAGCAGGCAGGGTGTGAGTGCAGCGGTGGACGCACACAGCCATAACATCAACATCACGGGACGTAGAGAGGACGAATCAGGAGGGGGTAGAGAGGACGAATCAGGAGGGGGCGAGGGCGAGCGCGAGGGGGCAGCGACGTACCGAGCAGGGCGCCCTGCGGGCTGCTGAGAACGTGGCGGGGGAGGTCGAGGATGCGGGAGGGGATGCCGCGGCCCAGCAGGAAGTGCGCGACCTCGTCGCTGAAGTGGTTGCAGTTGTGCGAGAGCAGGCTGTAGCGATGTGGGCTGTAGTTGGCGCTGACGTCAGCCAGAAACTGCTCGAAGAGGTCGCGCGGGATCTCCGTGCACCCTAGTCGGATCGCCTCCATGGGCGGTCCGAAGTCGGTGAGGCCGGGCACGCCGCGCTGGATGCCCGCGCCGAACCAGTACTCGGTGCCGTACGCCACCACGCCCGTGTGGTACACCGCGTCGATCGCCGTCCCCAGAAGGGTCTGTGACAGCTGACGCGCCAAGCCGTGCGAGAGATCGTAGACGTGCAGCACGACGGAATGACTGCTAACCTGCGACATGGAGAACGGACGACGTGATTAAATTTGCAAGATTGGTGTCTCTCCTAAAAAACAAGTCGAGAGAGCCCACAACCCGACGACCCACCTCCTCCATTTCTCGGTGTGCAAGGGATGTCAGCCGGTCGATAAGATTTGAAAAGCTCAAGAAGTCAGCGCAACGTAATAGTTCAACAACAGATCAACACAGCAATAGGATTGCGTCAAGGTAACGGAAACGTAAGCCAAAGAACAGAAGGATTTGGAGGGAGACAGCGTGGCGCTAGCAGGGACGAGCTGGAGCTATTAAAGCTCGCGTCTCTAATTTCCAACCGTTTAACACTTGGTTGGGTTTGCCAGGGTTTGATTGGGTAACGAAAGTCGAAATATTTGACGAGTGGGCGAAAAAAACACAGCGAACTCCAAAAGATCGAGGCCAAAACAAACCAGGGTGGGTTGGTTTGGGGGGAAACCGAGGCAAGGGTGACAGGTTTGGTCCTGGGTTCTGTCAACGTTCAGTTCAGAGTCTCATATGTTTGGGAGTTGTAAACACTTGGTGTGCACGGGGAAGTGTGCGACAGCCAACTTTCCCAACCACCCCTTGCTTTGGTGTGCTTCGCGACAAACTCTGCTGTTACCGGATTCCAACCGTTTAACACTTGGTTGGATGGCAGAAATATGAGACGCGAGCTTTAAGGGAGGATCAAGGGGGAGGAGGCAGGTGAGGCAAGCGTGCAAGGAGCGACACGGGGCGAACCTCGAAAGTTCCACACTCATCGCGAAGCCCTCTGAGGCCTCGGGCACCAATCAGGGGGAACCCGTTATAACCTTCTGATTACAAGTCTGTTATATGGAGCCCTTGCAAATGTCCAAACAAAGATGTAAGAAAACAAACTGAATTTAATGATTTAGAAAATAAATAAAACACCAAATTTCCCGAACCAAAATATTCAGCCATAATATCATACGTATATATTTTGCATCTTTGTTAATTACCTTGTAAACCCGGACACTAGACTTGGGATTATTTGATTATTCATCCAATTATTCGGGTGAATCAGAATAAGGCACGTCCTTATGTGGGCTGTGGGTACTACTGAGTTTATGGGAGAACTATTTCTAGAGTAGTATATTGATTATAAATATGTTTCCTCTATAATCCTCTCAACAATTCCCACACTTGCGGGACACATTATCTCTTCTGTACGACGGGTGGTCTGCATTGCGTTGGATGGTTCCGTGTGACGTGTTCTTGTCGTCAAGCGTCACACAGGCAGGAGGGAACCAGACACACCAGCTGTGGTTGTTCCCCTTCAAACAGCCGAATTGTGGATGTAGCGGTTCTGGGACCAGTTTGGTGTATTGAAACGGAACATCCGCCAAAACGCGGCTATTCTTGTGAATCAAATACACACGATGCTCAACCCCTGCGCGCGAATTTGCCCTGGAACGGATGAAAAGTCTGCACCCGTATTTTTTTACCAGCAAGTTGCACCCACATTACAAGCCCCACGAGCAAGCTGTTTTAGTTATGAACCAATACGAACCACAGAAACTGAAGTCAAACAGAAGAGACTGAAGTCAAAATGTCAACGGAGAGTTACAATTGTTTTCAGCCTTTTTTTGCTAGGTGCGACGTTGACGAAGTTTGCGAAATGTCGAGAATAACTTAAAATCCCCCTTCACAAGGCAAACTTGGGTTATTCAAACGAGCATCTTGTGTATGGAAATTGTTCCGCAATCTGGTGAAACCAACAAGAACCTTGGTGATGTCTTACCCGACGGTGATAGATTTGCCAGCTGTCGTTGTGGGCACCTACATTCCAGGTGTTCGCCATCGCTGTTCGCTGGCTCAGTTCTTTCTTTCCCCCCACAGGCGCAGCGGATGCGAATCCGCCTGATCCGATCATGGCTTGCGCATTGCGCTCACACAAGCTACCAAATCTCGCAGTTCCCAAACACGTCATTCTTTCGGAGGGCAAGGGGCTGGAAGAAGCGAGGGACAGTAGCCTGTCAGGTCAGGCGCTGCTGTGGTGGCTGGCTGGCCCCTCCCCTCATCTCGCCTCGCTTCGCTGCCCCTCCTCCTCAGTAGTCCAGCAGCGCAAGGGCAGCAACCGCAAACAATTGTGGTCCTCCCCGTTCCGTTCTGTTTGGTTCGTTCCGCCCCTTCCGAAGAACTCGAGGCGGGTTTGTTGCACCATGCCCTGCCACACGACCACTGCTGCTGTTGGAGGGAAACGACGAACTGCACAAACTTCCAATTCAATGACCGCTTTCTCCGCTTCTTCTCCAATTCCGAAGTGGGTTTGCTGCAACAGAGTCAGTAGAGTAGAGAGATGCAGCGGCAGCGATGGAAGCAGGACCGTAACAGGGGTCAGTTGATTGACGTCATCTCCGTTTTTTACTGAGCTCCATTTTACCAAGCCTTGACATAGCAGATTAGGGTTGTACATGTTTTGAGATAGGATCGTAACAGCCATGTCCTCACGATTAAGCTTCTCTTGCCTTTGTCTTCTCGTCGGGGCGTTGTTCGTAGCGTCCCAGCCGTTGGAAGCAGTAAGATTGTAGAGCGAATCAAGTAGGCAGTTGGCATTATACGCTTATCTGTCCATCAGGGGCGATGTATAAGACCATCAATAAGGTGTTTCACAACCATGGTGGCAAGAAGAAAACGAGAGGAGAGGCTTCGGACAGCATCAATCGCAGCCACAGCTCCGAGAAATCTCAGAATGCCGTTCCCTACGCCGGAACGCCAATCCCACAACACGTGGCCGTGGCGGCGGCGCAGGACCTGCGGCCAGATTCGCCGCTGCGCTTGGGCTCACCATCGATTGCGGCGATTGGTGAGGCCACGCTTAAGAAAATCGTGAAGCGTGCGTTCTACGGCGAGGGATCAGGCGCGCCAGCGGGGAGGCTGAAGGAGGTCCCGACGGAGATGCTGGCGTTCGAAATCGGCAGCATCATGCGGCGCATGCTCGAAATATACGACTCCATGGCGGAGAAGATGCTCTCGTCCTTACGCTCCAACCTCCAGGTGACCCATTGCTGCTCCCCTTTGCCATCCATCTGCCTCCTCTTTCTCGCAGTGCTCTCTTCCCACCCTTCGTGCCTCCCTCCGTCGCCCCCCAAGAGCCGCTGATCGTACCTCCTCGCTCCCTACTCGTTGTCTGTGCCGCCTGCTCTGCTCCGCGCGTTTCGTCTCCGCCACCGCGGAGTGTCCAGGCGTCCCCCACCCACGCGTGCGCTGCTCCGTCCCTTCCTCCCCGTGCCCTTTTCCCGTATGTGGTGCGTGCAGGCTCCGGGAGTGGTCACGCTCATTTCCAATGACCTTCGGGTGCTCTGGGGCCTCGCAGGTAAGAGCCAGTCGCAGGCCGTCGCAGTGAAAGCTAGTCGCAGGCCGTCGCAGTGAAAGCTAGTCGCAGGCCGTCGCATTCGCACGCGGGTAACAGGGCGTTGCAG